TTCCAGAAGTTTTTGCAAGAGTTGCACAAGAAAGGTATATGCCAAGTTTCACTGTGTTTTGCTTCTTTTGAAGCTCAGTATGAAAACTGTTTTGGCGGCATGGCTACAAGTGTTTTTTATAGGAGAGCTGACTTCTATGTCGCTATGGTCATCGCTTTATCCTGTGATTTCTTCTGATCCACGTTTTGACGCTATGCTTACTCAGGACGGTATGCGATAGGGTTGAGATTTCTGTGATTAAATACTCGACGTGTATCGTACCTTCTCCATTGAAGGGTCAACTCCACTCGATTTGTTCAAGTTTTACGTAGAAGAACTGAAGGAACAATATGGGCAGGATCGAAGAGTTATCAAGGATATACTCAGCGATCAAAAGAAAGTCGTTCAGGTAGGTGTCACGACGAGAGAGCATTCATACTTGGCGTCCTTCATGGCGTGAGCTGTTCTGAACGAACGACAGCGGTTTGAGCGTTTTGCGTCGGTGGGTATTGAGCATTTCCTGGGCAGTGCGCCGCTCTTCAATACGGTAGCATGGATATCTACTCGCTGCGACAAGACAACCATGCAGTACCACCCATGGAATCTCACGAGATCCCGTCTGTACACGACGTTTGCAAAAATGCCCTCCATACAAAAAAACTGTGGTAATTACCAACCCCCCAGTCGGACTGCCAGACACCGAACCCTAGCTTGAAAAAGTTTTTCACAATTTTTTCAAAAATGGTCGTTCTGACAACGCAGCAAAAATATAGTTCCACCGCATATTTTCCGGCTGCATCTCATTTTTGTTCGGTGAAACTTCTCATCATTATGACTTCTTGCCTCTTCTAGGCTATGGCAAGTGGAACTTCATTAATGGACCTCGAAAAAAGACAGATTATCGCAAAGAAGACTCAAAAACTGTCGAACCGTCGAATCGCGCGGGATTCGGGCCGCACTCATCATGCTATCAACAATTTTTTTTTCAAGGGACCTACAGAATATTGAGTTGAGAAGAGCTCTGGACATCCTCCTTTGCTGCCCGATCGGAATTAACTGCCGTATCCTTAGGAATGCATTCAACTCTGCAGTGTCGTGTCGGGAAATTATATCTTCGCAGGTTAAACTGTCTTCGCTACGTACGTTCATAGTTTCGACACAGAGCGATCGCCGCGATCGTCGGCGGCATCATGGCGCGATCGCCGCGATCGTCGGTGCATGGCAGCGCGCGCCCCAACGCTATTGTGGATGCTCGCCTGATGAATAAGGGAATTCAACTTGTAAGACCTTCTTTACTCTTAATAAGGGCTACTAACAGATAAAGCTACGACTTTCTACACATAAGCAGATCTGGAATATGAGGTAAGAAGGTTTCACTTCCTTTTAGGTCGGGGTAAGACCAACTCCATTTCCTGGGTGAGCTTCTTTTTTTTGTTTTTATTGTTTCAATTTATGCATGCGCCTCAGGAATTCCTATCGTCTAAGCTGTTCCAACTTCCAAACATTCATAGTTTACAAGGTTCAGAGTTCAAAACGAAAAAGAAAAAAAGAAACAGAAAGAAACTCTCCTAGGAACCAAAGCACTAATCATTTTACGCGACATCAACAGGTGAAAACTTCATAAACCTCATGTACAACCTCGACGAATGAAAAAAGAAGCAATAAAAACGTACCTCAAGTGAAGCTCTCGCGCTTTTTGCTCATTTCTATCCTAAATAAGAAAGAAAATGAAGAAACAAAAGCGATTAAGCTGGGGCCCTTGTATCAAACCCCCCAAGCTTCACTACCTAAGCAAATTGCAGCTTAAAAAGAAAAAAAAAGATGCATCTCACCGCTGCCAAACGTGTAAAGACCCGACCCATAATTTCCTCTTGTGGTGGACCATCGGACAGAATCAGCTGGCTCCTTGTCAAATTATTCTCCCCTCTTCTAAGCCACGTATCATCGCATTTGGTCAATACAGGGGACTTCATGGCTTCGTTGGAACAATGCCATATCCCAGCAACCGCTAGCTATGCTAGTTTTGATGCAGTATCCTTGTATACGAACGTCAACACCTGGGACGCAATTGATGCTCTAATAGACTTATGGAGCCAGCATAGAAGGGAAATCTTCGTTTTGGCCTGGAAGAAGAAGACCTGCGGAAATTGTTCAAGGCAACTTTGGATTGTAATATATTTCAGTTCGACGGAAGGTTCTACAAGCAACATCGGGGGCTAGCCATGGGGTTACGAATCGCGCCCTTACTAGCCATCCTTTTTCTGGACCGCATAGAACGCCGGTCGCTAACATCAGGGATATTATTTTACAAAAGGTACATCGATGACGTTTTCGTTATTGGTTCCTCATCGGGGGAGTTGGAAGATACGCTTCTAAACCTCAACTCACAGGATCCAGACATCAAGTTTACTGTGGAGAACCCAGATGAGAGACGAGATTTTGTCCCATGCTAAACACCAGGCGTCAAGAGTGAAACGATGTCAACAGGCCTGTACTGCCGTATAAAAAACCGGCGTCGAAGAATATATTACTGCACGCCAGAAGTTGCCACCCCTCATATATGAAAGCGAACGTAGTTCGCAATTTAATCAAGACAAAAGAAAGAACATGTACGCAGCGGTCGCAACGAATAGATACGACGGTGGACCGAATTCTTGGGGAGAATGGATACGTCAATACACGTATTCATACATGGAGACCGTACTCGACACCAGATGGCATTCCTTTGGTAATGCCATATCTAAATGAGAGTACGGCACTGAAAGTTAACAGTATAGTCAAAAGCTCACCACTCCCCATACAGCTCATATTTCGTCCACCGCCAAATCTAAAAAGACTACTAACGTACTCCAGGCCTTATGAAGAAAAATGCGGACGAGGGAACTGCACTTACTGTAATGATAGAAAAAATATGCCAAAACTCGAGCGAACGGTGGCTGTATTTGATAGGAATGCCAGGGATGGGGCAAAATATTTGCGCGAGAGACAAAAGGCCACTTTTCCAAAACGATTAGATGAACACCGCAGGGCCCTAAACAATCCAGCTTCATACCCGGATAACAGTCTCTCGAAGCACCGCACCACCATGCATATACACGAAGGTCCTCCGGCAATCACCATTACAGTATTACACCGTTCCATAGAAAATACAGTGGAAAGAAAACTATTAGAAGCACTGGAAATAAAAAGGCTCTCTCCGGAAATGAATAGTAGGGATGAGCTACGTGATGCGCTGCAGTTGATTTCACTGACTACGGAATGATAATGGTTGAGGCGGTCACAGTGATATTCCATACTGCAGAGACAGCTCACCAGCATCCGCACATTTAAGGGATGAGATGACGGGTAGGGTCGCACTGTCACTCCACTAGAAGTCGCACTTTGCAAGGAGCGGCGGAGGCTATATTGGAGGCAGAAGACCAGGTCAGAGTTCAGTTCGGGCACCACTGAAGACAAGATCCGGTTCGGCGTTGTGCAGAGGACTAACTATAGTATTTCAGATCGCTGAGGAAGGTGCTAGGCACCGAAATATTCGAAGGAAGTATTAGAAACAAAAATTTTTGCAAGAACTTTTGGATTCTTTTGAGTCTTTTGAGTTTTTTGCAATAAATTTTTTGGCGCCTCTTTCACGTGTTTCATGTTCAAAAAAATAACCATAAAATTTGAGCGCTTCTCCAGAAGCCTTCGGAGCGCAAGTAATAGCGATCTGGGACGCGCTCTGCATGTATCGACGATCGGCGTGCTGCTCGCGAAGTGATGAAACGCTGCCTACGAGACAAAAGAGCTTTCGAAAACTTGACCACCCAGAACTCGTTGGGCAGCTCCCTTAGTTCGTTGCAATCTGCATATTCGTAATCGGCATTCGAGATTCTATCGATGCGCCTAGGTCTCTTTTCGAAGTTCCGAGTTCTGCGGCGTCCTACGGCTTGTCTGTGTTGTTTTTTCAGTTTTTTTTTTTTCTCGCGGTCGCGTTTTCTAAAATGAGAAAAGATTCAACTACGACGGGTCCGACGAAAACCGATTCCGCGCACGACATTGAAAGCATAAGTTTCAATTTTTCGAGCAGAGATAATCAAAGGAGATCGGGCTCCACGCATCAAGGAAAACGTCGGAAACTGCCGCTCCTGTATGACAAAAATCATTTAGCAAGAAGGTCCCGTTTTAATGCAGGATAATGCACCTCTCATGACAGCCGAAACACTCGAGCGTGATCCAGTTGTCACCAAACCGCTCCTTTGCCCTGGCCTGCGAGTAGCCCCGACTAAAACCCAAATTGCAGGATGTGAGGGGTTTCATTGTCTTACTCATCCATCTAGAGATACTGCACAGTCCACGGAGGTCCGCTGAGCTTAGAGAGCTGAATCTATTGGGCAGTTAACGACAGCCTATTAAAAATCTCTATCGAACATGGGCACACCGTATTTTCAACTTACTTGGACAATAGATTCACATAGATTACTGCGATTCAAAATTATTCATTTTTTGTTACACTTTGCCTGTTGGAATATCGATTTGTTCGGATGGCAACTATACTTTCGCTGCGTCGTCAGAACGGACCATTTGTGAAAAAAAATTCTGGAAAAAATTGACACAAAATTTTTGTTCCCCAGTTGGTTTGTTGGCATGCAATTGGTTCGGCAAACCACATTTTTTTGTAATGGCGGCATTTGAGAATTCGTGTAAGACATTATTTTGTGAGATTTCGGGTGAACCTACTGATTATGCTTCGCAGTTTTTTTTCCTATTCGCCCTCAAAGCGCTGTCGGTACGCGCCAAAAACCTGAGACGCGAAGTAATATGAACGCAGCCTAAGGTTCTCTTTGCAACATTCAATTTGCTTCAGGTTGACACAACATTTGAAGAGTTTTCTAAGTGGGTAACGTCATCAGAAAAGGGTGCTGCTGTAGATCATGGAAATATGAAGCTCTGTTATAATTCACTTGTTGAAAAGGTATGAGTCCCCGTTTTTGGCATCTGTTGAGTCTAACCAAGACCGACCTGCAGGCTGAGTCAAAAGAACGCGAGGCAGAACGTGAAGAGGCGCGAAAGAAGCGCCGTCAAGAGAGCGAGTTCCGTCATCTTCTACGGGCACAGCAGCCGGCAATAGATGCAACTCAGAGTCGGCAACCTGTTCTAACAAGAAATCGAAAAGGAAAAGGCGGTTTTGGGGTGAGTGATGACTGCACGGACTACTTATTTTCCTAAACGACCATTTTTTTTATAACATCAGTTCTAAATAGGTACCACTTGGGAGACTTATTATAATCTGCTGTAATTTTAGATTGATTCTGAAGAACTGCGGACGAAGTACTTTGAAGAATACAAACGTTCTCTGAGCGAATCGTGTTCACATCATTCCGTTTCTAAGAAGAGGAAGAAGGATAAAAAGAAGAAGGGACGAAGAAGCGACGTAAGTTTAACGTGCTTAGGCAGTTCAGACTTCGTGATGACCATTTTCGCGCTATCCTTTGCATTCGTGTTTAGGCTATGGAACGGAGGTAGCCTAATCACATTAGCCTTTTGCGCATCGCGCGCGGCTGGCACTAGTGTTCTGAGAAGTACGGAACCGTAGAAGGCTCACCAGAACTGTGTGATTAGGCAACACCTGTACTCCTACCATCCTCTACCCGCTCAAAACGTCCGGCACCGATCCATAGCTTTCTTGGAGCGTCACTGCAATGGGCAGCTCGTCGTAGCACGTCTTGCGCGCGGTCATTCGCCAAAGTCGTGACGCTGCCTAAAAGGTGAGCTCAGAAACGAAAAACATGTTTAGAGGAGTCTGACAGCGATAGCGAGCCCAAGGAAAAGAGGAAGCGAAAGAAGCACTCAAGAGAGGAGAGGGACAGTGATGATGACAAAGGCAAGAAATTCTATTTTTTATTTCTGCAGTGATATTTTTGTTACAAACAGGGAACATCTCAGGGACGAGGGGCGTTTTTCCTCGATACCAGCTCGTCCCTTATTTTCTCCTCCGATGCGGCCCCAACGTCCGTCGAACAACGTAGGAGGGGATAGTGGGCTTTCATCAACAATCAGAAGTAGTCAAACCGCGATACCACCGACACTAGGAGGGGAGAGGTTACTGGTAGGTGGCATGCACGATCCATTTCCCAACCAAACAACCCTTCCTACTCCGATGTGGATTCTTCAACCATGGACTAAATTGATTGCATGAAGCGTCAAAGTTAACGGAGTAGTAACTTTCAGAGCGATCCCGCAAATCCCGAAAGTCTCGCAAGCGCTCACGATCTCGCTCTTCTTCACGAAGTGATGACGATAGAAGGCGAAGGGTAAGAGTCATTTGTTGTTTTTCCTGGAGTAACCATGAAGTAATTCCTAGAACAATTCTCAAATAATCTAAGAATTGGTTGCATGTGAGCTGTACGTATAATTCCAACTTTTACTTTTTTCACAAGTGATGTCCAGTATTGCTGAAATACTGATCCATTGTTTCTCATGTCGCAAAAAGGCTTGGCGGTGTCAGGAGGGACGGGATGAGCATGCCTCCGGCTGCATTGCCCGTCCAATGGTGATCGGTTAGCGACCATAGGAAGGAAACATACACTGGCGGAATAGCCGCGGGCCGACCGAATCCATCCCTCTAGAAACCGCCCCTACCGATTGCGATGATATCGACTATACTTTACCGCAGCTATTTAACATGTGCTGAAGTTGAGGAGGGGAAAGAAGGTATCGCGAAGTTGCCCAAAGCTGCAAGATTGCAAAAAGTTTTTTTTTGCAAAAGGCTCAAAATATCCAAAAGAGAATCCAAAAATTCATGAAAGTTATCTACTTGTCTTTATTTTGATTATTTAAAACTTAGTTGCCATGCAACTTTCCAGTGCCTCTTCATGTTTTCAGGTTTAGAAACTGAATGTAATTCTGTAATTCTTGAAAGTTATCATGCTTGCTTCCAGGATGCGTCTGATTCCGATTAGCTCAGAATGGCTCAATGAGGACCACATGTTTTGGAAAAGTCAGTATTTTGTTGGTTTGTATGTAGTAGATCTCACATGGTGTTGTTCTTATATTATGCTATATCGATTCAATGTTTTGTGCTTTCTCTGTGGTCACTGAAATAAAATTGTAGTCGTTCTTATGCGATGCAGTGTACAGTTGTGAGATTTCGCAATGCTATATTTTGAATTATTCAACAAATTTCTTGAATAGCTGATCGATTCCACACCTGCTTGCAGATGTCCAAGGCATCAAAGACGGGTTCAGTGGAACCAAAGAAGGTATGAAGCTTCACCTTACTTTTGTTAATGAATAGGAATGAGGATCCCTTCGCACTGTAAAAAGAGATTGACAGTTATCGTCTTCCTTTTAGAGACTTCCCAAGGTTTTCTCAGCGGAATGTTCTAAGCAGGTTATTTGGGTTCGGGTCGGTTGGAGTTCAGTCATGTTATACAAATGAATTAAGACATCGTGAAATTGTTTGAACGTCATCAAGTTTGAGCCCTCACCGTGTTTAACTAAACCTCACCCAACCTAAAGTTCAATGTCACTTCTGCTTTTGGCATAGCATAATTTTTGACACGCTCTATCTTCTCC